AAATAAATAATAATAAGAGTTATATTTATTTTCTTAAATTCTATTTATATACTCGAGTATTAGATAGCTAATTTGAATTAATAGAGATAGAAATAGACTAGTTTATATATATAAAAGCTAAAGTATAAAATAAGAGATAAGAGATAAGAGATAAGAATAATTTATTCTTTATATATTTATTTATCTTTTTATTTATTTATTTATTTATTTATTTATTTATTTATTCCTCTTTTTAATTATTTACTTATTACTATTTAGCTTTTCTTTTGTTCTCTCTTTTAGCTCTTTATTTATCTATTTCTATTCATTCTTCTCATTCTCTTACTAATACGAGTAAATCAACTCAATTAAGCCTTTCTCATCTATAGTTATCGCGGCAGTTGGGTGGCATACTAAATACTGAGTTATTGGATTGAGATATATATCTAAAACTTGGAATTTCATGAAATATATCTTATGGATTTTGAATATATTCAATTTCTATGCATAAATAATGAATGGTTGATTTAATATTTAACGTTGAAGTGGGTGGCGTTGATAATGGATTCCGGGTAAAATCCGGGCCGACAAGTATATGTGCCCTAATCTTACTATCCTCCATCCCTCCATATCCCTCATACTTACCTATCTACTTATATTATAAAAATTAACAGATTAGATGAGATCAGATTACTCCATAGATCCGATGGAAATAGATGATGTGTTAGTTGATATATAATGATTGTAACACTCAGTACAACACAACACACCACCGAACATGGAAGATTCCCAAGTACCAAGTATATATATATCGCTTTTATCCATTCATTCATTCATTTCATTCTACTATCCCCAAAACTATATACACTCTACACTCTACACTCTGTAATCCCGAACAACAGCCTAACCAACTTCAACCTACTTCAACCCATTAAGAATCTCCCCATCAATACCACCCGCAACCCCCTTATCCTGAATCTCCATCTTCTCCTTTGCAGCCTCACCACCTACCACCGTATGTTTTGCCGGTAAGATATTCTTGAGGGGTGGTAAGAGACTTCGGGAAGTTTGACGTGCTTGTTGGGCCATTAATGCATCGATGACGACGAGGGCTGCCATGGCTTCCACAATTGGGACTGCGCGGGGAACAACACATGGATCGTGACGACCCTTTGCTTCGAGGATGCCTGCGCCAGATCCGTCGTATGTGGCGGTTTCTTGGGCTTTTCCGATGGTGGCTGCGGGTTTGAATGCGACGCGGAAGTAGATGGGTGCACCGTTTGTAATGCCTCCTTGGATACCAGCGGAATTGTTGGTCTTGGTTGTTAATTTCGGACGGGGAATTCCATTCTTGGCGGCTCCGGTCTCGAGGGGTGGGACTTCTGTGGCGAGGATAAATGCATCGTTGTGTTTGGATCCGGGAACTTCGCATCCGCCGAAGCCGGATCCGATCTCGAAACCCTTGGAGGCAGGGATACTTAGCATGGCGTGGGCGAGCATGGCTTCCATTTTGTCGAAACAAGGTTCGCCAAGACCGGAGGGCACGTTGCGGATTACGCAAGTAACGGTTCCTCCAATGCTGTCTTCTTTATCTCTATATTCTGCGATGATTTCGGCCATTTTCGCAGATGCGGCAGCGTCAGGGCAGCGGACGGGGACGAATTCATCAACACGCTCCCGTGTTACGTCTTGAATGAGTGAGAGGAAGGCGGGGTTTGTAGATGAAGATGGATGTTCTGCGGAGGGTGGGAACATATGGGTACTGCCAACGGAGGAGACGAATGCGACGATTTCGATTCCATGTGCGAGTGTGAGATATTTTTCGGCAATGGCACTTGCTGCCACTCTACCAATGGTTTCTCTTGCGCTACTCCTGCCACCACCACTGCTAGCCTTGACACCGTACTTCTCGAGGTAGGTCCAATCTGCGTGGGAAGGACGGGGATAGAGGTCCATTGTTTTATTTCCATAATCGTGTGGTCGTTGATCTTGATTGCGGACAACCATAGCAATAGGTGTGCCAAGGGTAATTCCAAATTCTGTGCCAGATTGAATCTCGACTCGATCTTTTTCATCTCGGGGAGTGGTAAGGGCGGATTGACCTGGTCGACGACGGGTCATTTGAGGTTGAATATCTGCTTCTGTGAGCTCCATTCCTGGTGGAACTCCATCGACTATACATCCTACAGAGAGACAATGTGACTCTCCGTAACTATGAGAAGAAAGAGAGGTCAGTATTCTTGTATTGATCTTGAAATGGAGGGGTAACTTTTGGATGGAATTTGGAGTAAAATGATGATGGGTCAATTGAACTGAATATGGACGTACGTAGTAACTTTGAAATATTGACCAAATGTAGACATATTGAGAGATAATATGAAGATTTATGAATAAATTGAAAGAATTCAAGTTGAAGTTAAAAGTGTAGGAAATAGCTATCTATAAGTATGTAAATAATCCTTAAAAAAAGTCCCAAAAATAATTAATGACTCTTTCCATGCTCGGACCCGATTCGTCGGATGATGTGGGATTGATTGATGGATTTATGATGTGAGATCGGAGCCCATGAGCCAACCCTTGATCCTTTTACTAGGTACAGTCACACTAACCTTATACGGAGACTTTATCAAGGAATTTATTATTGGATCTCTCCGAATTTTATGTTAAGGTTCAACCCATCCGGAAGTATATCTTCATATCTTCACTTCCAAATGTACCAAAAGTTAATGGTTCCTTCGAGGGGGTTAATGTTAATGCGAATGCGAATGCGCCCATTCATATTATGTGGCATAACTCCTCAATCTTTCTTTGTTCCACGACATTATTCTTCTTTCAATACCAAATCCGACTCTGATTCCAATTCCAATATCAACTCCAAGTCCAACTCCAATATCGACTCCAAGTCCAACTCCAAGTCCAAGTCCAAGTCCAATTCCAATTCCAATTCCAATTCCAATTCAAAGTCCAATTCAAAGTCCAAATCTATCTTCAAGTCCAACTCTACCTCCAATACAAAGTCCGACTCCAAATCCAACTTTAAATCCAATATAAGTTCCATTGGTGACCCCATCGAAGTATCGAACTTCATAGAGCACGCTACCAATCCAACAAATAAATCCCAAATCTACATATCACGAACGGATGATCCATACATCAATCTCTCCATTGAACATTACCTTCTGCAGAAGACTCCCGCAGATTCTACTGTCCTGTTCCTCTATACCAATCGAAACAGCATAGTAATTGGACGAAACCAAAACCCTTGGAATGAAGTGAATCTCAACCTACTCAAATACTCGCCTATTGGGGAAATAGATTTGGTTCGACGACGTTCGGGCGGAGGAACGGTCTTCCACGATAGTGGAAATGTCAATTACTGTGTCATATGCCCTACATCGCATTTTGATCGCGACAAACATGCTGAGATGGTAGTGAGAGCTTTACATAAACTTGGGGCTGAACGGGCCATAGTTAATCCTCGACATGATATTGTTTTAAAGCCAACGCACAAGACCCATAAAGATTTCAGAGTTATCAAGATTTCGGGTTCAGCATATAAGTTGACGAGGGAAAGGTCTCTTCATCATGGAACTTGTTTACTCACTTCTCCAAATATTGAACAGATTTTTAAACTCTTGAGGTCTCCTGCCTTCAGGTTTGTCACAGCTCGTGGTGTTGACAGTGTCAATTCTACGGTTGGAAATGTTAATGTCAAAAATAAAGTATTTGAGAAAGCAGTAATAGCGGAGTTTTGTGAGATGTATGGTCATCAAGAACCAATCATTGTACATGCAAATGTCAAATCAATTCCTGAGATTGCCAAGGGTGTGGAAGAGCTTACTGTGCGTAATTGGGCATTCTTTCAAATAAGAGACTTGAGCTAACAAATTGGGAATTAGTCTCCAGATTGGATATTTTCGCAAACTCCCCAATTCACACTCTCAACAGATCAATCACATAAGTTTAAAAAGGATCGAATTGTGCTCCCGAAAGACTTACCACCGCAAGTAAGTGTACCATGGGAATTCAAAACATGATCTACGTTACTGATGTTGAGATATAGTTCAAAGCAGTCTTTACGGCACGAAATGGAGTTATCACCGAGGCAGACATCCAATATGAAGTAGATAATGAAATGGTTCAAATTGGGGAGATACTAGTAGGCAAAAAGTTACATGAAATCGAGTGGAATAGGTTTCCCCAAGAAATTGCCGAGGAACCTATGAAATGGCTTAGCAAATTGTTTGCTCACAAGAAGTCAGATTGGAGAACGGATCGACGAAGGAATTTTGACGACTCCCAGCTTAACGGTTAACATTCCGAGTCCAAATCTTACTTCGCCTAGATTCGAACCTCAAACTTCGGTCTTGTTAATACTTTATGTTGGAATACGGATGGATATATGAACAAATGTTTCCTTCAAATGTTGTAACCAATGATAAGTGTCTTTTTCATCAAAAGCTGAGATGCATTGATGCTTCTAGTCGATGTCGATGTCTTGAAATAACGAAGGGTCACTAAGGGGGGTTTATTCGCGTGTTTTTATTGATGTTGATGGTTCTTGAGTTGAGATACAGTATCCCTATAATACTGTAAGATTACCACAAGATAGATCATAGATGGTCAACGATCAAAGATCAAGAGCCGGGGATTTAGGAGTCGAAGGTTCAGAAGCCGAGGGTTTAAGAGCCGGGGTTCATAACTTCACCAACAGAAAGAATGTCAGAGACTTTAGCAAGCTCCTAACTAGTCTGAATGAAATATCTGAAAGTTCAATCATCTAGAAAATCAATCATATTCTGATTATTATTCATATCCATATTCCAGTTCCAGTTCCAGTTCCATATCCAGATCTATATTCAAAATAGATACTATACTGTACAGTTACCTCGGCGAAACAGAACGAATGAGCTTTTTCATTTATTCATTCATTCCCATGCATACATGAATTGTTACAATCGAGGGGCTCTCGAGAACTTTCGATTTGCTTGTTATTTGGATTATATTATATTATATTTGTTGGAATATCACTAAGATCATAATAGGTATAACAGTAGTAATATTGTATGTGTGTATCCTTAAAGATATTCTAATGGGATTGGATATATATATAAGTGTATGAGGCACGTGCATACAGACGATATCATATGAACTATATTATATAACCTTGTGTGAACCTAGACTGCATTTCCAATATCCCCTTATTGATTAGAATAATCAACCACGAAATACTACCAGACTGTATATCTGAATTCTATTCTTAATTAAACTCTAGGGTCTCGTTAACTCTTGTAACAATAGATAACGCTGTGATATCTAATCTTCCGTAAAATTTGATTATCTCATAATAAGCATATTGCAATACAAGAATACCCTAATTCCTTTGAGGTTTCCTATTTCCTTAATTAAAAATACTCTTTTGATATTCTATTCTGAGAAACATAGTTTATGAGTAATATTTGTAACTTTATTAAATAATCAGAATTATTTCATCTGAATTAACCTTAAGTAACTAGCCCTAAACCCTTTAAATATTACTCGAATTTCGATATAGACAAAGCCTTTGTTAGTATATCCACTGTCTAGTTTGCCCCAGGAATCCATAGGATTCGAAGTTTGTTATTATCAACTATATCATCGCGAATGTAATATTAACGGATAGCGATATGCTTAGCCTTAATATAGAACTTGTTCTTTTATATTCAATCAATATCACTTTTGTTATCATAAAAGAGTATAGGAATAAATGGATCTGTTTCAGTTCTTTTCTTTAAATTTATAATAAGTTTCTTTATTCAAACAGTCTCCTTTGCCTTTTCGTTTATTGCAATTATCTCGGTTCCATTATACTTTGTAATATCGATCTCTGCTTTTGAAAAAACTATATTATTATATCTTTGTAATATATAATCACAATATCTGATACAGATTTGAATCTGATATCAGAACCTTATATTACATCTATAAAAATATTATATTCCCCAGGAAATTCATTATTTTCCCCAAAATAAATAATCCCTATTATATAAGTGTTTGAGATATATTGGAAAAAATATTTAATAAATAAATAATAAATTTCTTCTGGAGTATTTATAACTTTTATAAGCTGATTTATAGAAAATAAGAGGTTAGATCAAGAATAGTTTGCCAAATAAATAACTAAATCTATAATCTATATATAAACCTGTTTCTCATTTGTATTCAAAAGATTCTTTTTCTTTGCCTTTCGAATTATTATATCTGATAGTAATAATAAATCCTTTTTGGAATATTTTTCAATACTGAATCTTTCCAACATCTTCCTTATATATAATTATTAGTAAATTTTGAATTATCGAATAATATGGTTTTATTTGATCTCGAGTTTAAGGAAGACTTTTATAGATCCTAAGTTCTTACATTTCTATTGTTCACTGATTGTTTTTTTAATTGTTGGTATCACCGTAGTAGTGATGAAGTGTCAATAGTACTATCGTATTTCATGTGTTTGTATTGCCTTAAGGAACTAAACTATAGAGATGCTAATGCTAAAAGATATATACTCTGTGGTGGTCAAAGCATTGCTTATTGCCCTAACCCTTAGCCCTACCGCTCACTACAACTAAGTGAGTGATATCTAGATATTGGCAACTATCTAAAAATCAAATAAATTTGTTTTTAGCAATTTTTTATATATTCTATTAATCCCTTTCTCTCTAATCTCTTTCAATCTATTCTATAATCTTGATCTTAATGGTATTATTGTCAATTAGTTTTTTAAATGTTTTTCCTATCTTAGATTTTGTTATTGTATCAGCAGGATTAGATTCTCTATCAATCTATTTGATCTCTATGATCTTATATTGTTCATATAATTGTCTAAGGGTTATTAAATTGATTATTAATCTTTTCTCCTAAATTATATCTAGTTTAATAAGATAATTATAAAATGATTTGGAATCGGTATAAATAACAAAAGAGATTTGCTTTTTTATAAAAATATTATTTATTGTATTCCTAATCATTGCACTAGAATCGAATCTGAGTATTATTTTATAGAGTTCTGAAGCCAAGACGCTTTGTATAATTCTCTTGTATTTGATAAATAACTAGTGAATGATATTAGCTTTGTTATACTTGTCCATTAATATAATTAGATATCTGATTTATAATAACAAATCATAGTTGTTTGTGAATGAAGCATTAGTAAATATAATCAACTTCAAGGAATCAATATCCAATAATACAAATTTGAGTCCTTTTATAGAATTGTCGATTTGCCATTGGATACGGTTGTTAAATAGTTTTGTATCTTCATTCTTT